TAATTAGTCAATTATTTTTTCACATTATTTCAGAATAAATTGGGATTACCTGTTATTATAAATCGCAAATTACATTATACACCAGATAGCAAAACTGCAAAAATCTCAGATGGTGTTTCTAAGCATTATCCATTAGTAGATCATACTTATGATGCTGTTGTTGTTGGTGCTGGTGGAGCAGGATTACGTGCAGCTTATGGTTTAGTTGCTGAAGGATTTAAGACAGCAGTTGTTACTAAATTATTTCCTACAAGGTCACATACTGTTGCTGCTCAAGGAGGTATCAATGCTGCCTTGGGTAATATGGAAGAAGATAACTGGCAGTGGCATATGTATGATACTGTGAAGGGATCTGACTGGTTAGGTGATCAGGATGCTATTCATTATATGACACGTGAAGCCCCAAAGGCAGTCATTGAATTGGAGAATTGTGGCATGCCTTTCAGTCGAACTTCAGATGGTAATATTGTTATTAAATATATTTAATACTATGCCTTATTTATAAAGTATATAGAAATTCTTTTTTTAATTTTATATGAGTCATAAATATACATAATAACATAATATATTCATGATTTTTTAAATAACAAACTACACAAGGAAAAAGTTATTCAAACATTAATTAATTATAAACACAATCACATTTATATAACCAATTATCATGTGCTTATGAACTCATATCTGATATGTCACTTGTATTTGTATCTGTTGAACAACCTGAAGTAATTGAATCAGTATCAGATTCAGTATAATTTTTATTCTTGTTAGGTCTTTTTGGTTCCTGCAATTAAAAACATTTACAATAAAATAAATAAATATATATATATATATATATATGTAAATTTACTTATTTTATTTGTAACATATCTTAAATAATTATCTTAAATAAGATATTAACCTTCTTTTTTTTTTCTTTCTTGCCAGGTTTTTCTTGTTTTTGAGAGTCATCATTCTTTGGTTGTTCTATATTTATATTTTCAATTTTATATGTATTTTCAGTTTTCTGTTGATTTTGTTTCTTATTTCTAATGTCCATAGCTGCCTTTAAATATGGCTGTTTTTC